GTTCGGATATTCAATTCTTTTTGATTCTATTTTAAATGATTCGGATACATGTAAAATACCACGGGGACTACCGAAGAGAGTTTAATTAAGCCTTGCATTGAAGTATTGCTGCCTAAGGCGACGTCTTCAGCAAAGATGACCGAAACTAAGAACACCAAGAAGGCCTGCCTCTCAACGTTGATGATATCAAGCCGTAAAGGAATGGAACTCACTCCCTCTTTGTATAAGAAATACCACTACCATTGACACTTTCAAGTCCTTTTTTTCGCTATGTAACTCGACTGAATCAGCTAATTTTAATTTATTCGTAAGTTAAGTTCTTATTTATGTTACGTACTTGTTTAATTTAGGACCCAGTTGAAAACCTTATTACTACTCTTCCCAGTAGACYGAGGTAGTTGTGATTTTTTAATCGCCTTCGTAGCGTCTGTTATGTTATCCGCAAGTACATTTCAAATTGAYCACGTGATGCCAATGTTGTACCACGAGGACAAGTTTTTTACACCACGTGATYAAAACTTGACTGAATTTTGATCAMGTGGTGTAAAAAACTTGTCCTCGTGGTACAACATTGGTATCACGTGGTCGATTTGAAATGTACTTGCAGATAACATAACAGACGCTACGAAGGCGATTAAAAAATYGCAATTACCTCGGTCTACTGGGAAGAGTAGTATATGAAATGGCATCCCTAATAAAACATTGGTAACATATGAACATAATCGTTGTTTGTCAATCCCATAAAAAATGTAAGGCCCATAAAATGATTTAAAATGATCAAATCCCCTTCACAAAAAAATGCTCATACAACCTTTGACTAGTGCTGTTAGCTTTCGTGTCGTGTGCAGGTTTTTTCGATAATGCTTGTTACCAGGTAGATGCAGTGAGACAATCTGAGTGTCCCGTGGAATGTTAAAGGGACCGGTCATTAATTGTTGCCACAGTGGTGGGGAGAAGGAGGTGTTGATACTCTTTCATTTTTGTGTGACCCCCTCTCCCTCTCATAGACCCCTTGCATGCGGCTTCAAAGAAGCTYAATTTGGAAGACAAAATAAAATAATTTCAATCTCCTGAGAATTGGAAACCAATTGTTATGTCCGCTCCAAATTGAGCTATATTCCGAACATTCTCGTACCCAGACCCTTCTCGTTTATAGCGAAAGATCGATTTTTCGCTAGAAACGAGAATGGTCTGGGTACGAGAATGCATTCCTAAGTGCTGCAAGGGTTCTATTGGCGATAAATAAAGACCGGTCCCTAATGTTGACGCGTTCAGAAAATTAAGGCATTTTATGATTTTCTCGTTTTAGGGAGCATGCGCAGATTATGATTACGTCATTTTCAATGTTTTTACTCATGTGATGTGATGAACATTCAAACTCATTCTTTTCGACCCATACGGCGGGGTTGATTATAGGCAATACCTCGAATGAGGCGAGTTTCTACAGCCCTGGTTATCGGATACGTTGAAATGGTAACGAATATAGCATTTTTCATTTCAAAGTCAAGGTTACTCTCTAGATATTGACCTGCTGCTAGGTCAGTATCAAGATATCGACCTACTAAAGGTATTCATCGGCTTTGTATCAGATACTACAACCCGATGAATAAGAAATAATATAGTTATAAATATACAATAACTGGTATTACTAACCTGCTTTTCTCGTTATTTTTGTAGCTGTTTTGCTTGCTATTTTTCCGGGTTCTTCATTCTTATTACCGCTGTCCATAGCCGATGGTATRTACGCAGGCTCAAGATCAAGGTCAGGCGAGGAAGGAGGTGAGATATCCTCATCAGATACTACAGATGCAGTCTTATCACTAACATTCGATTTCCATGACGATGTAAGCYTACCACTCTCATTTCCACCCAAGCTATCCCCTAAGTCTTCACTTCCATACGACAGTCCCAGGCTTCCTGCGCCACCTTCAAATAAGGAAAGTTTGGGTTTCTGTCTTCCAGGTTTCTTCTCCTCTGTAGTCTTGTTATTAGTAGAAGACCGCTGTATTGGTGACGTCGCGGGTGGAGAAATACTACGAGCCAATGTTCTTTCCAGATCGTCGTCTCCTTCACTCTCCTCCTCCCCCTTGGGATCTGTTTTACCTTCACTGTCACTCAAATCATCAACAGTGGACTGRGCACTTGACATCATCTTGCGATAAGCAGCGGTTTCGGTAAGAGGGACGTCATCTTCTTTGAAGTCGTCTTCATAAGAGAGAGTACGTTCCAGTGAATGAGCAGGAGCATCTGATGGTTGTTCCTTGGACTGAGGTCTATCGAACAAAGACAAAAAAAAAAAAAACCCAGTACGGTTCAAGTAATCTTTCAGTGTGCGCGCTTTTACCAACTATCTCGCCCTATGTGACCATTGAAGAACTGAAGGGTAGCTCGGGTTATCTATAAAGGTATGTGAGTGCTATCTATGGGTTGCCACACCTGTGTGTCCTTCAAAACCGCCWACYTTGCGCGCTTTTACCAGAACAGAATGCGCACCTTAACCCATCTATCCCCATTATATCAAAATGTGATCATTTAGGTATCGAAGCTTGAAGCTACCCAGATTAGATAGAAAGGTGTGCAAGTGCTATGGAGTGCCACATGGTTGAATTAAAATAACCGCTAGGACATCCCGAGGTCCCGAGGTAACAAAACTACTTTAAAGAATCGTATTCTCTAGGGAACGAAACATAGTAAAAATGGRTAAACATTGCACCAAGACAATTTAGGTCTATTGAAAGGCAAGAAGGAAAAGGGTTCAACTTACAACTCTTTGTCGTAAATAGGAGGAGTTGAACCTAAAGTCGAACTCTCATCAGATGCAACTGAAAGACTGTCATCTTTCTGGGGTATTTTGGAACTGTTATCAACATGTGGTTCAGCTGGATCATTGGTGGGTGTTAGCGAGGTAATACCATACTCTCCAGAGATTATTCCCTTGATAAGGGTGATCAGTAAGGTCTGAAACTAAAACAATGAACAAATAAATAAATAGATATCAGCCCAAGTTCGATTACAAACATAAAACAACGACAGAACAAAGTGAACCCCCCCCCCCCCCTTTACAATGGTCTTCGGCGCTAGGGGATTAAACAAGATACTTCCCCCTAAATCCCACTTTTGTTCCATACGCAACTTACATTGGCTAATGGTTCATTGCATGGGTCTTTACCTGTGTTTTACATCACAGAGGCTAATGCATATCAGACAAGTTGTCGATCCCCTTAATAATCCTTATAATAGGTTTGTATATAGC